AGGGCGAGGCAGGAGGAGCCTTATAAATTTGAGACCACCCTAAAATGCATAGTGAGTTCAAGGCCAGAACAGCATAAAGAGATCCTGTGGGAAAGATAATTAATTAATTAAAATTTTAAAAACTGGGTCACCAAATTCAGAAACAAGGTAAGAAAAAAGGCCAAGCTATATAATAAGTTCAGGCTAAGCTAGGACTACAGAGACCCTGTCTCAAAAATCACGCACGCACAGGTCTGGTACTAAACAACTGTAATCCCAGCACACTAACAAGGCTGAGGCAGGAGGATCACAAATTCAAGTCCTTGCTGGACAATTCAGCAACTCAGCAAATCTGCCTCAAAAAAAAAATTTTTTTTTTTTATAAAGCCTACAGCACCCGGTATTAACAGGTGGTCTCCCATCCAAGTACTAACCAGGCCCGACCCTGCTTAGCTTCCAAGATCAGACAAGATTGGGCGTGTTCAGGGTGGTATGGCAGTAGACTCAAAAAATGTTTTTAAGGGCTGGGGATTTAGCTTAGCCGACATAAGCGCCTGCCTTGCAAGTGTGTGGTTGTGAGTTCGATCCCCAGTACCCGATAAAAAAGAAAAAGACAAAAAAAAAAATGTTTTTAAGAACCAGGTGTGGTGGCTCATGCCTGTAATTCCAGCACTTGGGAGGCTGAGGCAGGAGGAGAATCACTGCGAGTTCGAGACCAGCCTGGGCTACAAAGTGAGTTCGAGGCCAGCCTGACCTGCTTAGAGAGTCCCTGTCTAGGAGCTGGGGATCTAGCTCAGTGGCATAAGCACCCACCTTCCAAGCAGGTGGTCATGAGTTCAGTCCCCAGTATTAAAAAAAAAAAAAAAAGAAATTTTGAGAGACCCTGTCTCAAAACGATTTTTTTAAAAAAATGTTTTTAAAACGGGCTGGGATATAGCTCTTTGCTAAGGACCTGGGTTCAACCCCCAGCGTCTACTTAAACAAAGAAAAAGACCAAGGCACTGAGATGAGGAAAAACTAATGTAAATTTATTACCACCTAGGGCCAGGGGTTTAGCTCAGAGGTAAGTGCCTACCTGGCAATTGTGAGGTCTAAGTTTGATCACTGGTACCAAAAATAAATAAATGAATAAATAAATGTATGCCACCTAAACAATAAAACCTCTAAAGTCAGGTACAGCAGAGTAGACCTGTAATCCCAACTATTCAGGAGGCTGAATGGGGAAGACAGCTTGACCCAGAAGCTCAAGATAGATGGATGAATGGACAGAAGGAAGAAAGGAAGGAAGGAAGGATAAAAGGGAGGCAGGGGCAGGAGTTTTTTCCCAGCATCAGTAAACAGAAAAAAATTTTAAGTGCAATTCAACCTTGTTTGTATATTTGAGAATTTAACACAAGGATGTTGGTAACAAATACATTTCAAGATGACATAAAAATTAAAATAGTGTACAGAAATGTGTTAAAACATGCCTTCATAAGATCCTACATACTGAACCAGGCAACGTGGCTCACACCTGTAATCCCAGCACTTGGAAGGCTGAGGCAGGAGTATTGGTGCCAGTTTGAGACCAGCCTGGAGTACAAAGTGAGCTCAAGGCCAGCCTGAACTGCATAGAAAGACCCTGTATCGAAAAGACCCCCCCAAAAAAAAAAAATCCTACATACCTTTAATATGTATGCATTGTATTACAAAAGAACATGAAGGGAACATGAAAGGAACATGAGGGGAAACCTCATAACTTGATTAAAATTCCCCCAAGTAGCACTTGGGAGGCTGAAGTAGGAGTATCACTTAGGCCAGCCTGGTCTAAAAAGTGTCAGCCTGAACTGCATAGCAAAACCCTGCCTCATTGGGGCGGAGGATTTAGCTCATTGGCACAAGCACCTGTCTGGCAAGTGCAAAGTTGTGAATTCAAGCCCCACCCTGGTACAAAAACAAAAACAAAAAACCCTTCTCTTTTTTTTTTTTTTTTTTAATCGGTACTGGGGATCGAACTCACAACCGCCTGCTTGCAAGGCAAGTGCTTATGGCGCTGAGCTAAATTCCCAGCCCAAAAACCCTTCTCTTAAAAAAAAAAAAAAAATCCCTTAAGGACAACAAAAAGAGAATGTAAGGAAAAAATGGAAACAAAGCTTTTGTAAATAAGGAGGAGAAGCTGGGCATGAAGATGCACCCCTGTAATCCCAACACTCAGAAGGCTGAGGCAGAGGACTATCATGAGGAATTCAAGGCCAGCCTGGGCTCCATAGTGACTTCAGGGGCAGCCTGAACTATACCGCAAGACCAAAAATTAAGTAAAAATAAGGAGGGAAAGAATTAAAAGGAGGGCCAGGAAATGAGAAAAACAGCAAGATGTATCATATACAGGTACAAATTCCCTATGATAAATGATGTGTATAGGGTCAGGGATTTAGGTCAGTGGCATAAGTACCTGCCTGGCAAGTGCAAGGTCATGAGTTCGATCCCCGGTACCAAAAATAAGTAAGTTAATAAAATGATGTGTATGTCTGAAATGTACTAATAAATCAAAAACTGCAAAAAAAAATTAGGCAGAATATGGTAGCATAGGGGCTGGGGATTTAGCTCAGCAGCATAAGCGCCTGCCTTTGCAAGCAGGCAGTCGTGAGTTCGATCCCTGGTACCGATAAAAACAAAAAAGACAAAAGAAAAAAAAAAAGAATATGGTAGCATATGCCTATAATTCCAGCACTCAGGAGGCTGAGGCGGAAGGATTCCTGTGAGTTCAAGGTCAGCCTGGGCTACAAAGTGAATTCAAGGCCAGCCTGAACTGCATAGTGAATCCCTGTCTCAAAAAGAAAAAATAACAATAATAATAATAAAAATGAACATTCCCTAAGAACATTTACTGCCTTTCCTATTCTATAATCAACTGCCTGTGTATTATTGACTATGCTCCCAGGAAAAACAGAGATGTGCTGGCAATGGAAAATTCAATCCAGTCGTTTACATGGCACCCAGAACTTTCAATGTAAATAAACTGGTTTCTCATTTATCAGTCTCTGGTGAATTTACAATGCATTAATAGATTCCCAAGCACCTGAGTCATCATGCTATGTGAACCAAAATTCTTAAGTTTCTAAACTACCACTAGTGACTAGTGAGTCACACCACTTGGATCCCTTAACTATCTGTGAGTTCTTATTCCTATTAGTCTCAATTCCTTCAGCAGCAAATAGAACTAGTAAATAGTTTAGTGATTTCTTTATTTTAAAGCTAAATTTGAAACGAGGACTAACTGAGGTAAAACTATTTCATCTGAAAGGAAGTACTACAGGGGACCATCAAACTCCATCATCTGATTTAAAGAACATCCCCAGGGGTGGTGCACACCTGTAATCCCAACACCAGGAGACCATGTCAGGAAGATCCTGTCTGAGCAATTCTGTGATTTAAGGAGAACTAGTCTCAAAATAAGTAAATAAAATTAAATCCTGGGGTTAGTGGCACATGCCTGTAACCTCAGCACTGTGGAAGGCTGAGGTAGGAGGATGGCACCAGTTCAAGACCATCCAGGGCTACACAGTAAGTTCAAGTCCAGCGTGAACTACACAGCAAAACTGTCTCCAAAAACCAGAAAGCCAAAATAAATAAATAGATAGATAGATAGGTAAAAGATAATCCCTGGAGTCTCATTCTAGGGAGCTGAGAAAAGCGAAGTTCTAAAGTTTTGCAGGTACTCGTGTACCAGTCTCCTGCTTAGCAACTCTAATGTTGTCTACCAAACACCCAGCCTGTAATGGTTAGAGCATGACAACTGTTCACTCTAAATCCATGTGCTCAGCTTGGATTTAAGATTGATTTATAAAAATAGCTGCTGTTGGTCTTTGAATCCCTGACTGATGACTGGGCAGTGCTACCCCATAGGCCTAGAGCAGCTGAGTTTCCCTCACCACACCCATCTCTCTACCCGGCCAACCCGATGGCAAACACCCCCACCCCACCCCCATCTCTGCAGCAGACAGTTCTCCCTCCTCCCCGGCTGAGTGAGCAAATTACAAGCACAAATATCCCCTGATGCAATGCCACAACCATCCCTGGGAAAGAGCAGAGGCAGTTGCCAAAAGTGCAGGGAAATGGGCGGGAGATACACATACATACGCGCGCGGGGCACGCGCACGCGCGCACGCGCACACACGTAGGCGCGCGCATAGGCGCGCGCACGCAAAGCAAGACCGCAGTGCTATGCAGTCAGGGAAAGAGAATCGAGAGGCCCTGGGGAGCAAGAGCGTAACAGGACCAGAGGAGGGAAACAAGAACAGGGGGTTTCCAGATTAAAGCTGGGGTAACCCTAGCCTTCCCTAGGTCTGCACGTTTCACCCCGGATCTGAGTCCTAAAACAAAAGCCCCGTTTCCTCCGCAAAGCAGTAAATGCATTTAAATTTACACATTCCGGGAGACGACCCAAACCCCTAAGACCATTCCACGAGGCAATTTCAACTGAAAATGAACTCAGGGAACACACCGGCAAAAAATGTCCTTCGGCGCAATCTCCGCTCTGGGCAACGTCTCCAATTGCCCCTCCCGGTCCCCATCTCCACTCCGCTGTCCCCACCTTCAACGTCGGGGACTCACTGGCATGCCACGGTCGCGCACAAGGCCGAGCGCTGCTCCCTAAGCGCCAGGGCCACGCCCGAAGGGGGCCGCCGCGCAGATCTCTGTCACCCTCAGGGGACAGTCCCCAGGGCGCGCCCTGGTCCCACACCAGCAGACCCCCCCCAACTCCTCGGTTGGCGACCCTCCGAGTCTCCGACATCCCAAGCCCACGCCGGGCCCCCGGCCCTCCACCCTGCCTCGTTCCCTCCCACGCCGAAGGACCGAAGGTCGATCGCAGGCCGCCGCCCGCCCCGTGCGCGACGCCCCTGCGGCCCTCAGGCGCGCGGCCGCCGCCCTTCCCCGCTTCAGGCGGGCCCTGAGGGGTCCCGGGCTGCCTGGGGGCGCCGCTCGCAGCCCTGAAAGACTCTCAGGTTCGCCCTTCCGAAGACACCCGCTGGCGTCTGCACCTACCCGCCGCCGCCACCGAGCCGGAGCTGGAGCTGGAGAGGAGAGAGCCGGGAGAGGGCCGGGAGGAGCTGGGAGAGGCGGGAGCCGCAGGAGTCTGCAAGCGAGCCGGGGGGCGGGGCGCAGGGAGGTGGCCGCTTCCTCGTCGCTCTCTTGAAGACCGGGGCGGGGACGGGGCGTCGCCACCGCCTGACACCGCCGCCCCGACCAATAGGTGCGAAACGGGGGCGGGCTGAGGACTGCCGCGAGCCAATGGGCGCCGGCGTTGGCACCGTGCCCTCCCCGTGGAAGCGGCGCGCGCGGAGGCCGTTGATGGTGAGGTGCGCGTGGGGTCTACACCGCTGCTCTGGGGCTCGCGAGTGCCCAAACGGGCCGCTCGCCCGCACCCGCTGTACTGTGATAGCGGCCGCTTGCTTGTAGAGATCGGGTACCGAGAGCCGAGGAAGACGAAGGGTCGGATACCCGGTGCTGGGCACGGGTCCCTCAGGCCCTGCTGTGGGCTCTGTGACGTAACTGGGCGAGGCAGGGGCGGGTCCTCGGGCGCGGCCGGCTGCTCCCGGGAAGGGACTGGGAGGGTCCGGGAGGGGCAGCTGAGAGCTTTCCAGTTTGGCCTCCTCTGTCTGTGATGGAAACGTGGCTGATCCAAATTAAGAATGGCTGTAAATATAAACACTAGGTTTCCGAGACAATACAGAAAAAGGAATACAAAATATTTATTTTTTATTAGTCGTAATTGAAATAATTGATCACAAAAGTGATTCCAACCTACAGACATACCACCCTGAACACACCAATTCTCCTCTGATCTTGCAAGCTAAAGCACAGGCCTTGTTAGTACTTGGATGAGAGGCAAAACTGATTCCAGTTTGGGGTATAATATTTAGTTAAGACCGATGTATTTAAAATAATTTGGAAAAAAAAAATAATAATTTGGAGAGGATGTGGTGGCATGCACCTGTAGTCCCAGCACTGGGGTGGCTGAGGCAGGAGGATTGCTGATTTTGAGGCTTACCTGAGTTATAAAGTGAGTTCAAGGCCAGCCTGGACTGCATAGCAAAACCTTGTCTCAAAAAGACAATATAATAATTGGAGGAGGAAGTAAATGGAATTTAAAAAGAATTAAGGTATGTTAAGTACAGCGTCCTCATGACCCCAGTCACTGCCTGGGGGAACAAGAGACTCTTAGGGCATCTTGATATAAACTCACGTTCTACAGCCATGAACCTCTTTCCTCAACTTCAAAATGGGATGCTTATGCTGGTCCAGCTGGTCTCTGAGTGACAGGAAGCCTAAATTGGAATTCCAGAGAACAAAGCAACTGGGGAGGTGAGATTCAGGACTAAGTCTTACAGTGCCTGCCTGGGACTACAGGGCCCTTGCTCTGCCAGCCTCTCATTTAAGGCCTCAAGAGGAGCAATAATCAACAAGTTCAGGGACAGAGGTGGGCATGGTGCCCCATTCTAAAAATAGCTCCCCCTCCATGCACCTTATAGAACCAAAGGAAAAGAGATCAAGGAAGTAAGGGAGTCAGCGTTCAGGGAACCCTCAAAACTGTGTTTCATTACAGCCACTCAGAGAGTACACACAGGTTCTTTTCATCAAGTCCTAAAGTCACAGGAATGAGGAAACAGTGAACCTTGCAAGAAGCAGTCTTATTTCAGGGGAAGGAAGCCTCACATCCCACGCTGCACAGTGAGCCCTCAGAGAGCAAAAGGTGGGAAGACAGTGCCGGATGGTGCCTGCCCCTGCCTGCCGTTGGCAGCGAGAAAGAACCTGAAGCCCCAGATGGGAAATGCTTGCCCAAGGCCACACTGCTGGTTCCCAGCACAGTGAGACTCTGAAGTTTCTCAACTTGCACTCCAGGGCTTTTCCTGATTATAGATCGGTTGGAATTACACTTAGCCACAAATGGTGGAGAAGAATGTGCTTGCATCCATGGGGGATGTATACGCAGGGAATGCAGGTTGGTGGCACAGCATCTGCTTAGCCTGTGTGAAGCTCTGGGTTTGATACTCAGAACCATCAGAGCAAAACAAAACTGCTAGGTGTAGCTGAGGTAAGAGGATCACAGAGAATTCAAGGTCAGCCTGGGTTACACATTGAGACCCTGTAACAAAAAAAAAAAACATCCTGAGGCCAGGAATAGAGCTCAGGGACACCAGTGCCTGCCTTGCCTAGCAAGGGCAACTGGTCCTGAGTTGAATTCTCAGTATAGAAAAGCAAAAAAAGGAACATTTTTTTAGTGTAGTTTATAAAAAATTTGGTCCAAACTGGTTCTACAGAGCCTAAGTTTTTTCCTTCTTTTAATAAAAAGTTGCTACCATTTGTGCATGTCTTGGCCAATTCTTTGTTCAAGACAGACAGAACCTAGAACCCAATCCCCAAAAGGACAGTTCAGTATGCCAAAGGCCAGTAAAGATGTGGACCACAGTAAGTGCTCACTAGTGGTTAGAAATCATTGCTCCTCTCTACCAACTCCATCCTATAGCAGTATAACATAGGCTAAATAATAAGTTTTCTAGCTTAACCATCCATTTTGAGTTTTATTTTGTTTTGTTTTGTTTTGGTACCAGGGATCAAATTCACGACCTCATGCTTGCCAGGCAGACGCTTAAGCCACTGAGCTAAATCCCCAACCAAAGTTGAGGAAAGAGGTTCAGGACCGTAGAGTATGACAGTTTATATCTAGATTGGCCAAGAGCCTCAGGTGACCACTGGGCACTGTACTGCTTGGCGGGTTTATCCCCTGCTGAGTTTACAGCTACATGGGCTATTAGGAGGGATCCCTGGCTTGCAGCCTGGAAGGGTTTGCCTCTTTCAGGCTCTCCCCTTCCTCATCTTCTGCCTCCTGTGTGCCATGCCATGACCGCCTCTTCCCTGCCACACCTACACCATGGCACTCGTCCTGAAACACAAGCCAGTATAGTCTCCTGTGGATTGTGTCAGGTATTGTCTGAGCCCTGAGGATGGGACTGAGACATGGGGCGAGGTGCCCAAGGTCATGCCCTGTGACTCCCTGTTCAATGTCCTTTCTACACCTCCCTTTGTTCCTATTTTTCCTGAGTTTTTAGTTTAGTTTTCCCATGTCTTTTCAGGACCCACTTCCTGGCTACGTGCCGTAACTGCTCTCTGCTGTGACTCTGAGGCTACATGTGAAGGTGCACTCAACCGACACCTGTTGCTCTCCTAGTTCTTCTGTTCTCTGCCCCAAATCCCCACTTGCCAGTAAAAGCCTCTAACTTCTTTCTGATTCTGATCCCAACCTTTACATCAGGGTTTTAAGCAGAATCCAGCCCTGTTAACATTAATGTAATTTTTTTCTTTTGGGTATTAGAAACTGAACTCAGGACCTTGTGCTTGCCAAGCAGACATTAATGTAATGGAGACAGCTCTCATCTTGGTTTTTGGTTTTGGTTTTGGTGTTTTAAGATAGGGGTCTTATGTAGTCCAGGTTGGCCTTGAACTCATAATGTAGTCCAGGCTGACCTCAAACTCATTGTGATCCTCCTGCCTCAGCCTCCTGAGTGCTGGGCTTTCAAGCATGTGGCCACCATGCCTGGCTTTTATCTTGGTTGTTATTGTTTCTGCACCTCACATCCAACTTCTGGTTCAGCAACTGAGGTCACTAAAGAGATAAGTCATGGTCAGAGAAGATGTGAACTGCAAGATCCTTTGAGAGCTTCCCATCCAGAGGCCAAGCAAAAATTGCATGTGAGAAGCAGCCATGAATTTGATCCCAGTCTATGCTACATAGTAAGTTCAAGGCTAGCTGGAACTACATAGTAAGACCCTATCTTAAAACCAAACAAATGGGGTCAGGGATATGGTTCAGCAGCACAGCACCTGCCTGGCAAGCACAAGGTCATGAGTTTGATTTCCACATGTTATCGAACTCATTTGTCATAATTTCTTTTTTTTTTTTTTTTTTTTTTTTTGAGACAGGATCTCACTATGTAATTCAGGCTGGCCTTGAGCTCACTTTGTAGCCCAGGCTGGCCTTGAACTTGCAACAGTCTTCCTGCCTCAGCCTTCCAAGGGCTAGGAAAACAGGCATGTGCCACATTTGTCATACTAGTGCTGGGAGGAACAGGCAAGCATCAACCCCAACTGTGCCCAGTTGTTGCCAGTTGCTTCAAATGTAGCCCAATATGGTCAGAGAAGACAGCTATATTTTTAGACAAATATATTAACTTTTGAGTGTTGGATTCTAGTTGAGCATTTTTAAGAACATGGCATAGACCAAACACATCTATAAACTGGCAGGTCTTGTCTTGCCAATTTAACATATGTCCATAATCCCAGCGCTTGGGAGGCTGAGGCAGAGGGCTCACTGCTAGTTTGAGGGCAGCCTGGGCTATATGCTGAATTCAAGGCCAACCTAGACTCTACAGCCAGACCCTGTCTCAAAAGAGAAACAAAAAAAAAGAAAATTCTGCTCTGATTGTTGCTTTACCCCATAGAGGAGCAGGCCGGTGTCATCCAGCAGAGCAGACAGGAGGAGATGGAGGTGTAGCCAGCCCTCAGAGTCCTTGTGCCACACTCGCCATGTCAGAAGGCCATAGCAACTCTTTCCAATTCAGGAAGCCCCCAGGGAGAGCCAGAGCTGAGATTTTTCCAAGAAGAGCTGAACATAAAGATGCACTTAGGAAAAAAGTAATAAATAAATAAATAAATAAATAAAATTCAAAGATGCACTTAGGATAGGCATGGTGGACCAACCTGTAATCACAGCGCACTGGGAGGCCGAGCCAAGAGGATTGAAACTCTGAGCCATTCCTGGGCAACTGAGTGAGACACTGCCTCAAAATAAAAAGCAGCGGGGGTGGGGGGTTACAAGTACTAAGAATATGGCTCAGTGCAAAACCCCTGGGTTCAATCCTCAGTAACTAGAAGAAAGAAGGGAGATTCTTTTACAGGACATTTGCCTTAGTCCTTGGCTCTCTTCACTCAGCCAGGAGTCAGGCACTTGGCAGGCCAGGCAGCAACTTCTATTTCAGACAGAGCTGGGCAATGTGGGTGCTATCCGGATGACTCAGGGCTGGGGAGCACTGCAGGGGGGCTCTAAAAACACTCTGCTTAGACATAATCTCACACTTACTGCAAAGCTGCAGGAATAAAACTGCATGAGCAGCTCACATAACCTTCACTAAGAAACA